ATAGGGAGCCAGTGTAAGGCAGCCAGAACAGGAGAACAGGTCCCTTTTCCTAACTCTGGTTAGTAGTACACGTGCTGCAGCATTTTGAATCAGCTGAAGCGACTTAACTGACTTATTGGTACACTCTGATAATAAAGAGTTACAATAATCCAGCCTTGAAGTAACAAATGCATGGACTAGTTTCTCTGCATCGTTTTGAGGCAAGATATGCCTGATTTTTGCTATGTTACGTAGATGAAAGAAGGCGGTCCTTGAGATTAATTTTTGATGTGGGAGTTAAAGGATAAATCCTGATCTAATATAACACCAAGATTCCTTACAGTCTCACTGGAGGCCAAATGAATGCCATCCATAGTTAGTATCTTTAGATTGTTTCATAGAGTCTTTGGGCCAAGTACAATAACTTCAGTTTTGGACGTGTTTAATATAAGAAAATATAAGGTCATCCACGTTTTTAAGTCCTTAAGGCAGTCTTGAATTTTATTTAGATGATTAATTTCATCAGGCTTGATTGATAAATATAGTTGAGTATCATCCGCATAACAATGAAATTGTACAGAATGATTCCTTATAATATTGCCTAACGGAAGCATATATAATGTGAACAAAATAGGTCCCAGCACTGAGCCCTGTGGCACCCCATGGCTAACTTTTGGTTTGCATGGAAGATTAATCGTTGACACACACAAATTGAGAGCGTTCAGATAGATAGGACCTAAACCAGTCTAAAGCAGTTCCCTGTATGCCAACTAAGTGCTCTAGTCTTTGCAATAGGATGTCATGGTCGATAGTATCAAATGCGGCACTGACGTCGAGCAAAACAAGAATAGAGACAAGTCCTTTGTCTGAGGCTATTAGAAGGTCATTTGTAACTTTAACCAGAGCTGTCTCTGTGCTATGATATGTTCTAAAGCCAGACTGAAAATCTTCAAATAAATCATTGTTTTTTAAGTAATCACACAGCTGTTTTGCGACTGCTTTCTCAATAATTTTTGAGAGGAACGGAAGATTAGAAATAGGTCTATAGTTGGCTAAAACCTCTGGATCGAGGTTGTGCTTTTTAAGAAGCGGTTTTATCACTGCTACTTTGAATGATTCTGGAACATAGCCTGATAATAAAGACATATTCATAATATTTAATAAAGAAGTGCTAATGTAATATTTTTCCGGTTATTACCCGTCCCCTTGTGTGTTATGAAGGTTTTTATGCATGTAAACGGTCTGCAAAGTCACAAACCCTCAAAGTACACAGAACATACCTGTCTATGCTGCCCCAGAACGCCTCGTTGGAGATTTCTCTTTTTCTTCCTGGGTACAGTGACGTGCCCATACCCAAATGGACCAATCCGTGGTGCTGTTACGTTAAGTCCGTGGATTGGTCCAAATGGACCAATCCGCGGACTTCCTCACACACACTCTTCTCTTCTCAGCTGCAGCTCCGCCGATTTCTCCTCCCTGAGACGGCGGGACGCAGCGAGGCTGTGAGTCGGTGTGTGAGCACACACACACACACAAACTCCCAGCCAGGCTGCGGGTGTGTGTGTGTTCGGGCTGGGTTTCGCTGTGTCTCGCTGTCTCGCAGACGGCCACTGGGCTCATAGGGAGGGGGGGGGGGCTGGAGCTCCAACAAGCCGTTTAGGACAGAGAGTGAATACACAACTATACAGAGATGTATGATAAACTAATGCGATTTTGGAAAATTGCACAATATAAATCAATTTTAGTATACCTCAACAATGGAATTATGATGAGTAGAACTGGCCATGACATGGGACCTTTAATGTCCTTATGTCCTTGTGTCTCTTTCTCACTCTAGCCCCGCTCTCTCTCTCTTGCAGCCATGCGACCCTTCCTCTCTGTGACTCTGGAGCCCGGGCTGGAGCGAGGCGTCCCGTGGGGTCGTGACCTCTACACCTTTGTGACCTCAGCAGCGGGTCACATGATGAGGACTCTTCAGAAGCCCAGGAAGAACCGGCCGTCCAAACGTCAGGTCAACCACCGGCGCTTCCTGCAAAACATGATCCAGAGGTGTGTTGGCTACCTATCAGAGTATCTCTTTTTGAAGATGTCTCACAAGTAGAAATTGCTTCATTTTAATGTCAAAGTTTGACATTTCTGGAAATATGCTTTTTTACATGTTTGCCAAGAATTATAAGCTTCATACAACTGTGTTATCTGTACGGTGAGTATTATAAGATCAAGCCACGCAGACTTATAAAATCATAAAACAAAAGAAAGTCACTGTACCCAGGTAACACATAACTCCCTGTAAAACCTTTATATAGTCCATGGTAAAACCACAAAATGTCGTCTAGAACACTTTTTTAAAAACGTGTTGTTGGATGGCAGATTGTTCTGTAGGACAATTGGTTTTATAGTCTTTGTGGTAAACTGGATGTAGCGTCATGTTAACGTGCAAACATGAGTAATATTTCCAAAGAGCAAAAAAGCTTTTATCCATCAACATTAAAACAGTTTTTTATGATTACATTAAAATTGCTGTGGTTCAATGTTTGATCTTTCTCCTCGTCTGTCTCTTTACAGAAAGTTTGCAGACATAGAAGCAGCAAACCACCGGCTGGCATCTTCTCTTTGTCATGAGGAAGAAGAAAAAACCACATCCTCTCCAACATCACAGAAACCAGAGACAGCTGACCGGTCAGGGAGCCCAGCTCAAGGTGGTGATCTACCAGAGCCAGATAAATGCAGCGCTCACACAGAAGGCATCTCTAAATCTAAAAGCAACATGTTCACTAACATTGAAATCAGTGAAAAGAAGCAGCAGGATTCAGGACCCCTCTGGAAGAGACATCCCAAATCACAGCCCACCACCTGCAACGCTAAAAAGAAGAACAACAGCAAAGAAAGACAGAAAAAAGACATTCCCCTATCATCATCATTATTACATATGGGCTCCCAACAAGGCACAGACTATCACCACGAGGAAGAGCTCTTATATTCTGAGTGCTACAACGGTGAAAGTCAGCTGGAGTCAGCCAACAACTCCTCTGAAGACTCAACTCAGCAGGACTCTGGCTTCATCCACTTCAACCAAAACACAGACATCTCTCCTTCTCTCTCTCCTCTGCCTCTGGACTCGTCGTGCGACTTCTCAATCCAGATGTTCACAGACATCTCCCCTCAGGCCCAGAGGAGCATCGCTGATATTTCAGAGAGTCAGTGGGCAGATATCATGGATCTTTTCAGTGTTGGCAGTCAAGACTTCGGAGGCTGCATGGATGTCGAGGCCTATTTTGAAAGTATCTGTGCCTGCCAAGGTGACTCTGGGCAGGAAGTCGGTGCTGATGATGTTGGACTTGCAGATCAGTCAGATATGTTCAGAAGCTCTGAGGTGGAGGATGAATACGGTGAGACAGGCAAGTACAGATACAGTTATCATGGGGATCAGGCGTTGCCCATAAACAACTTCCAGTGGAGCTTGCAGGCACAGAGACAAAATGAAGTCGCTGATGAGAAACAGTTTAACAATTTTAAGGCAAACCAAGAGACAAATATCGCCCAGCTCCCAACATCCACATTAATTGGCTACCAATACAACGCCTCAGAGCTTCAGACGTACCAGCGTCCCCAGGAGGAGAGTCCCTGTATGCTGGTAAATTGTGAAAATAACCAAAACTTTATACCATTTGAGGGAATTGCTCAGTCATTCCCTGTCCCACTTCATATTCCAGAGCACCGTCCTATACAAACACCGCCACATGAGGATGACTGGCTGTTCACTGACATCTTAAAGGACAGGAGGTCACCAAACTGCTAGGAAAACATCATTATCTTTTCTTTTTAATCATTTTGGTTGTGTTATATTATTAGAAATAGAACTCAGAGAAAGTAAAAAATCATATTGATATAAAATGTTTTATAGCAGTTTTTTAGAGGGGACATTGTGTCTCTTAAATAATCATGGGGAGGTTTCTTTATATTTAAAAGAAAATCTGACGGCATAAAAAAGTCTTAATGCTTAATGCTAATTATTGACAAAAGATCCAAGCATGTAGTAAACACATTTTCCCCCCTGTATTTGAAAGATACAAATGATACAAAATATATTGAATATTGGTAGTTCATGACTGAAATTCATCAAAAGATTATAGAGTAAGTGAAAGTGGAAATAATATGAAGATGTAATATTAAGGCAGTTTTTTGGGGTAATTAGCTTTCAGACTCCTAGCTCTTATCATTTATTTAAAAGAAGGTGCACTGGAAAGATATGGTTATGTAATTATACTAAAAACATTTTAAAAGAAGAAGCTGCAAGATGAGTATCAAGTAAAATTACTAATATATATTATTAGTGTTATTTAAAAAGAAAATGACACTGTATTCTGTATTGCATTAATCGTATGCTTTCATTGTAATATTTAATTTAATCATGTACAGTAAATCCTAAATCAACAATTTAATTGTTCTCTTTTTGGACCAAACCTTTTGTATTTATACGTTTAAGCTTTTAACAGATTTTTGTGCCATGTGATTTGTGTGTTGCTCACAGTAGTAGTTTGATTGCCTAAATATGAAATGTTTAAAGTGGTGACAAATATTTATAATAACAATAAACAAAATCGAAATGCTAATTACTCCTGTATTATAGTGTGTTTGTGTTTGTGGGGGGGGGGGGGATTACAAGAAGAAGTCCTGCAAAAATGTCGTACAAGTATTATTGGCAGAACGCAAAAGGACCATGTAAATATATTTATATTTAAAAAAACAAAAACTTTAAGAGCTTTACTTCAACAGTATACATTGAAGTAAATTAATGTATTTGTTGTATAATTAGGTTACTTATTTTGTTTGTTTGTGTAAATTGCATTATTTCTCTTTTTGCTCATAATACATATTGAGATTAGATTCCTTCACAATGTGCTTCCTTTTCTTTGTTTCTGCTGCTTTAAATGTTGTGTAAAGAACTAAATAAAACCAATATAATGCTGTACTTGAGTAAATTAGTCTGCTGTCAAAGAAACACACAGAAACACAAAAGATCAAAACCAACGAAATATATTAAAGTTAACCCAGTCAGATGTTTTATAATTACAGCATCATAAACAAAAAAAGGCTAAAACAATAAAACACATTTTTCCCAAAATGTTTCAAGTTCCACAGTAGCCATAAGGAAACACAGAGAGAAAAACCACACCTTAGAGAAACACCGGCCTCGTCTCTTGCTACAGGCGGACGGTTCAATGTCTTCAGATTGCGGTCTATCAAGGCGCGAGCGACGGCGCCACGTTTATACATTGGAAAGACATTCTGAGATTACGACGTTTAAATGAACAGTTCAGAGTGACAGATTGCGTCGTTTTTGACACGTGATGTCAGCTCATTTGGCTTTATGGTTAATTTCGCCCTCTTTAAATTACCACCGGACAGCAGACATGATGTTCTGTAATGTGTAAAGTGCAGCGTTTACACAATAGGCTATCTTAAAATAAAAAACACAGCGTCAACCTAAATCAATTGCATATTGCTAAAATAACATTGTACATAATGAAAATACAAAATGAAACCCTTTAATAGGGCTTAAACATATGTCGTCAGTAGTCAAACTCTTTCTTGATCTTTATTCACCTCGGCTCTCACTAACTGTGAAGCAAGGTGAACCTGGCAAGGCAAAACAATAAAAAAATGCCTTACATGTCTGATGGATACGAGGACGTTAGCCCTGTACGCGCTTATTGTTCTCGATATGCAGGTGTTAGTTTTGCATTGCGGTTTAATTAACATAAACACTTGTTTATTTAAAACAAGAGGAAGGGAGCAGTGATGACAACCCTGATTACCGAAAACGACTGCACGGTCAATACCATCAGGATCAGTCCTTTGCCATCTAGTATAACAACCAGAAAGCAAAGAAAACGTTCAGAGCAACATTTGGGATTTATCTTTATCTTTCTTTAGCGCCAATTAATAGTCAAACCACCAGTATATTCTTTATAATTACAAGGAATGGTTTCACGTTTTTGGGAAATAGGTTTCTTTTGAGTAAGAACAGAAGATCATTGTCATTCCCATGTCTGTTTGGTAAATATGAAACTACAGCCAGTTACTTTTAAATGAGCTTAGCACACTAAACTACAGTTAGCTAGCTCTGCCTGAGTTAAACAAATCACACCTACCAGCATCTCTAAATCTCAGTTGTCATGTTATATCCTGTTGGATTAAAGAAAACAACAAGGTGTTAAGCAACAAACTGCGTTTATATTTTTCAGTCAAATGCTGGAATACTTTTTGGCCGTGCGCAGTGACTTCCTAGAGCCCCTGCTTACATACTTTTTTAACATAGATATACATGCTAATTAGTGACCTTTAGAGATGCTGTAGGTGGATTTAGTTACTGCTAGTCCGAACCAGGCTAGCTGTTTACCCATGTTACCAGGCTTGTTGCTAAGGTAAACAGTTGCTTGCTGTCGCTATATCTTTATTGTACAGACCTTAAAGTGGTTTCAAACATTCCCGTCCTACTATCCACAAGAAAGCTTATTTCCCAAAATGTTAAATGATGTATTTAAAACATTGGAACTTGTGTCGAAGTCACAAATCTAGACATTGCATTTGATTCTGGACAGCCTTAGAGCTGTGACAGGCAAACAGGTGGCAAATAAAGGTCAATACAATTAAAATAGGCCCATTAATCCACCTGTTAAACAATAAATAAAACATACTGAGGAAAATGGAAATGTTTTATCAAAAGGAAAACACGTATTTGAATTCAGGTTTCACAAAAACAATATCTGTTTCACAACAGGGTCCTCAAGCTGCTCGTGTCTGGAAGACACCACACACACGGGTCAATTTGAGTCAATGGTCAGGGTAAAAAAGAAATTCTACTTTTTGTTCAACTTGCATTTCGTAAAAATGTATTCCTCAGTGCCTCCATTGTCATTTTTTAATCTAATACTAAGTATTGGAAAAGGCTCGAGTCTCATGCTCAGTTACTCTGCACACGAACTGTGAGCAGAGACTGAGTTTATTCTACTGAGGAAAAGTAGAAAACCTCCCCAGCCTCCACACTCTCATCTACTCTACATTACTACCTATTTAAGTCCCTTTTTCTCATCCATACGCCCACCATTTGGTTAAACACAAAAGCTTTGTCTGATCGATAATTTACACAGATAATCAGTGAAAATCAAAGTTACAATGTACAAGATGCTTGTCAAAATAAAATGAGATGTGTTCATCAGTCTAAAAGATAAAAAATAAAAAAGATCCATGTCACAATTTGTTCTGCTTTGGATAAAAAGAATAATCCACCAATACAGTTCTCCACAGGTTATTCCTAGTTATGTCGCTGCGGTAGACAACCCATACATTTTTATTTTATACACCAGAAACGGCCTAAACCAGGGAAACCATTTCTCCACCAGGAAGCTCTCTCATGCAAATTCACAGCTGAGAGCCGATGCTGTAAAGCAGACTGCAGCAGGAGCGTAATGATCAGACTAAGTTCCTCACAACACGCACAGTCGTACAGAAAATAACCAGCCGTCAAATAACTTACATTTACATTTGGATATAAATTATATAAATTCTCATTTCTGAAGCAATATGTTAAGATTTTAGTTAAAGAAACCAATACTACCTACAGCTTTGCCTAACAACCTAGTGTTTCTAATCTACAGAAAGAAGATTTATTTATTTATTAAAACTTTGATGCAGCTTTTTATGGTCAAATGTTTGCATTTTTACAATTTTGACAAATGATATGAGTATTAGATTATATGAGATGGAACTTCTCCCCAGTTTCTGATCAACCGTTTACAATAAAAGTTGAATTAAACAATAGTTACTATGCTATTTCTCTTTTGCTAACTCACCCAAAAAGTCAGCCATTGTTTTTCCAGCCCAAACTGTTTGCCAGATTATCTCAAATTACTAATTTAATGTTTTTTTAAAACCGTCATATTAAAATGTGTGTACAAGACTTATCTTGTTGACTTTTTGTAACACATATACAGATTGTATCATCACCCTCCAGCAGCCCTGTATGAAATCAGATTATTTATATTTATATATATATATATATATATATATATATATATATAAAATCCTTATCAAAAGGTTTGAACATGGTTTATCTTTTAAATACCCCCTCATGTAAAAGACCACCATAATGTTTTCTGCTAATTACTGTACAGCATTAAGAAGTTATTTGATAGTAATTTCCCCTTGGAACTCTGGGAAATATAGTTTTGTTTCTCAGAAGAGCTTTACAGAGATGTAATGTAGAAACTTCCAGTCTTTGTTATGTTGTTTCTTTACGTCACAGTCTGTTACAAAATCAAAATGAACTCCAGTTGCCTCTTTGTAAAATCTCATTTCAGACTTTCTTTTTAGTGAGGTTGTTGTACAGATATAGCGCCTGATGTATTCATCATAAATGTACTTTTATAAACTAGTGTTGTCATGTGCGTGTCACTCCTTCACCCCTGAGTAGTCGAGGCTGTGAGAGGCCAATGTGTGTGTGTGTGTGTGTGTGTACTATGTGTAACTGAGTCTATGGGTGCGTCACTCTGCGTTGTTGACGCTGTAGGGTGGTGGGGGGTCCATGCTGTGTTCAGAGGAGGGAGTCGGGGTCCCCGGGGGTCCAGAGGAAGGGGTCGGCGAGGCTGGAGGCTCCTCAGAGTCAGAGTTCTCCAACGAGAGGTCGTCCACCAGCGCTCTGCGTCCACGCATCGCCAGGGGCAACGGAGCACGCCTGGATAAGGAGAGTCAGAGTTACAGTTTGTCCTGCTGTGTGACAGTCCAGTGTGTTTCTCTGTAAAACTACTCGTATCTTCATCAATATCACTATAACCATTATGTGTAAAGGATATTTCTGAGCTAAAATGATTCTCATAACCATGTGTGTATTTGTCTATCTATGTGAATTCTACACTATCATAGTGTGTACAGCTGGTCCTTGCTTTCTTAGGTTTATTTTTTATTATAAACTGTAGTGCTCTACTTGACTCTGCAAATCACCCAAGACATATTAACTGTTTTAAATTAATATGAAGGCAAGACAAAACTGATTATTTAGTCCACTTACTAACTAACACCTTATTTTGAAAAGCACATTTTAGATGATATAAAGCCATTTTGAGACTTTTTGAGCTACTCTGTTCTGTTTGTCCTAGAAATACTATTATTGTGTTTTCTCTTTTGAAAGGGATATATGAAATCCTTCCATTAAACAACAGTTCCACCTGTGCTCAGCTTGTCGATCACATACTTCCACAGAGTCAAAATCTATTTATTTGGTGGTTTTTGTAAAGAGGCTGAAGGCCAATTTGTCTTCATCAGGATTCAGCAAAACGACTTTCCCTCAGAATCCTCTGCATGTTAAACTTCAACTTGTTGGAATGACCAACTCTAAATGACACACTAGAAACAGACGTTCGTGAATTTGAAAAGCTGGAATCAGCAAATGGCTTGCATTGTTTCTCGACATTACTTAAAAATTAAGTCATTAATGGTTGTCGTTCAAAATCAATGAAAAAGATGATTGTGTCAGTCATAAGGTGGGTGAGAGTTAATAAACAACTATTATTGTAAAATCACCTGTATGGAATCTGTTCAGCAACTAAAGCTTGAATGTGCAAAAAAGTAAACAATAAAAAAACATCCAAAACGCGTAATAAATAAACTGTGCATGTGCGCCTCCACCCATTAACCACAGACAACAAAACAAACAAATAAAAAACAAGACACACACATGGACCTACTGCTCTGGTCTCCATTCAGGAAGGCTGAGTGATGTTGTGACGGACACAGATGGACAGTTTGTCAGTGTTAGATGGACACAAACAGATGCAACAAAAGAGCACAACAAAACAAATCATATTGAGTTAATGGGGGGGGGGGTTAAAAACAAACAAAACAACCATAAATGATGATGGTCAAACAAACAGAAAACACAGCAATACACACACACACACACACACACACACACACACACACACACACACACACACACACACAAATACCTTAGCTGGCTGCGTAGAGTGGTGATCTCTCGCGCCATGCTCTGACTGGCGTCTGTGAGCTCCTCCAGCTCTCTCTGCAGCTTCCTCTTCTGGGCGTTGGAGCGAGAGTTGTCCTCCTCCACCTCCTCCAGCTGCCTCTTCAGCTGCTTCAGGCGGACCATCGATTTATCCACCTAGGAGGAGGAGGAGGAGGAGGAGGAGGAGGAGGAGGAGGAGGAGGAGGAGGAGGAGGAGGAGGAGGAGGATTAAGGAGAAGTGTTGGAAAAGGACGGAGCGTATTGCAGAGGTGAGACACCAGAGCGAAAGAGAGAGGGGAACAAGCAGATATATAAAGAGAGAGATTACTTTGGGAACAGGAGGGCTGATGGGGATCAGGAGTCAGATTAAACCTGGCAGATTATCACCAATGTTTTGGTGGAAGAGTCACTGTCTCTGTGGGGGATGATGGATTTGTTTTTCGGAGTGGAATACACTCTTTTTTTCCAAAGAACACACAGATGTCGGGGCGAGATTAGGATTATGTTAAACTAAAATGGATAAATCAGTCATTTAGGATGATTTTTCAACACTCTCTTTGGGCGCTGAGTCGCAATTACAACAGCGAGTTGACCTGATCTGACCCCATCTACATGACCCTATATCACCCCTTGCTGCTAAATACCAACAAACTATGTGCAATATATAAATGCCGTTAATAACTGTAATATATACCTGGCTGCTAAATCCTAAAAACTGTTACAGGATGTGTATTTTTTTTAATTATGTAACTTTTTATTTTTTATTATATATATTTTATTATAATATCATAACTTTTTAAATGCATGTCACATATTTAACATATATAACATTAAGCTGTCTGTGGCTCTTTTTCCTGCTGTAACTACGCACATTTCCCCTCCGTGGGACTAATAAAGGTATTCTGATTCTGACCCCATCTCTGACTCAGCTATTCTGTTGTGGAGAATGTTTTCTTACCTGTTCTCTGTACTGGTCTGCATGTCTCCTCTCGTCCTCCGACTGCATCATCACCTCCTTCAGTTTCTTCTCTGTCTTTCGCACCAGTTTGTTGGCAATGGCTCGTTCCCTGAGAAACATTAATTATAGGATATCTGTCACACAAAGCAATTCAAGATCGTGGAAAAACATTACCATCTAATTATGTCTAAGGGTCATTCTGCTGGTTGAGGGGGAAAGCTTACATTTTTAGTTAGAACGATTGTACATAGCTGACGGGCCCTGAAATTGGTCATTCAAAGTGTTTAATTCAATGTAAGTTGTCTAAAATCATCAGGGAGTTGCAATGGACATGGACCACCTTTCCCTACTACCCTACTGGCCCCTTATCATTATCATTATTATTATTATTATAATTTGATTTGAGTTTCTTCTTGAAAACAACATAAAAGAAAAGAATGGCAGCTTTTTTAAAGAGTATTTCTTCCCAATGTCTCCTCTTTTATCTGTACTAAGGCACGTGTGTGCTTCTCTCACTGTCTCTCCTGCTCCAGCTGCTCCTCCATGGAGTCGATCTTGGCCTCCAGGGCGGCTTGGCCGAGTCGGTGTTTCCCCCTCACGGCTCCCTCCATCTCCCCCAGCCGGCTCTTCAGCTCCTTGTTCTGCCTCTCCAGCTGCTCCCGAGCCGCCTCTGCTTTCTGGGCCAGAGTCCTCTCTCCCTGCAGCTGCACCGTCATCGTCTCCACCTGGACCACGAGCAAGGCAAGTTTATTTATATAGCACTTTTCAGCACGCGACAATTCAAAGTGCTTTACAAAACAAATTAAAATACTTTTTAGGAATAAAACACATTATATAATGGCATTTTACAACAGGCATTAAAAAGCAAAGATAATAAAATAAACACCACAGGTATACAATACATGTTTAAATGGCATACTGTAGTGCGAATATGAGCAGCTCAATTAAAAGCAGCGGCAAAGAGATATGTTTTCAGTCTCGATTTAAAAATAGTAAGAGTTTCTGCAGATGTGCATGATTTGGTTTGTTCCAGATTGTCGGGGCATAATAGCTAAACACTGCCTCTCCATGTTTTGTTTTTACTCTCGGAACCGATAGCAGCACAATGAGGATGTGTACTGACATGCATGTTATGGTTCCACAGAGATAGTGGTGGATGTGTGTGCAGGTATATCACAGTACCTGTAGAGCATTTTTCCTCTGTCTCTCTGACATCAGCTCAGCGTTACTCTGCTCCTCCTCCAGCTCCTCCTCCAGCTGACTGACTCGTGCATCTAACCTCCGCTTCTCTTCAAACAGAAAATTCCTGGACAAACATTACATTTAAGTTCACATACTAACCGACAATACACAGATTCATGTAAGATATCTGTAGTGAAGGGATACTGACTTTCCAGAGCTGCTGTTGACCATCTCATCGGCCATCTCGTCTCTCTCCTGCTGAGCCTGTCTCTTCTGCCTGTCTGATACAGAGAGCTCCTACACAGACAAACAAATGCAAATGATGTTTTAAAATAATTGAAAAACATTAAATCTCTATATTTATTCTGGGTTTCAGTTATATAAACCAGGGTTCATACACTTTTTCACCAATGATTTTCAATGAGTTTTCCATGACCTTTACCTAATTTTCCATGACCAAAAAAATTACTCGTTCTCAGCGGTACCAGACATTTTTTTATTTTAACATGGTAAACTGGAAAATAAGGTTGGCATATGAAACATGTTGTGCCCATCTAAAACAAATCAAATCAAATAGTAGGCTTACTAGCTCCTACAGACTAAAGCCACTGGAGACTAGAGGGCGATTGTAAAATTCTCTCACCAGCAAAATACCTTGTCAGTTAAATGCCTTCTTAAATGTTTCATTACTATCCAGTATTTATTATCGTTATAGTATTACTACTTCGGCGATTAGATAAAATATAAATTATATTTGATGCATTGGTTACATTTCCATAACTTTGGAAAAAATATTGTTTTCCATAACTTTTCCAGGGCCTGGAATTTGCATTTTGAATTTCCATGACTTTTCCAGGCTTTCAATGACCGTAGGAACCCTGATAAACGCACCTCAGTGAACTGCAGGACCTCTGCTTCCAGAGTTTGGATCCTCTTTTCGTTGTCCTTGGACTGAGCCATCACCTCTTCCCGGGACAACTTGCTCTCATCTAGCTCGCGCAAAACTTCCTTCATTTGACCCTGTGAAAAAAAGTTACATTTATACCTAAATTCGGGCCATTAATGAGTTCAGAATATCAATGTTTATGCGTAGCGAAATGTATTTACCTGCAGCCTCCGTAGCTGCTTCATAGCGTCCTCTTTTCCGCGGGTGGTGGTCTCCACCGTGGCCTCCGCATCCTGCAGCTCTGCTTCCAGCTGCTTCTTGGACAACACAGCCTGAGACCTCTGACTCTTCTCCTCCTCCAGCTGGATCTCCAGCTCCCTCACCTGGCAAAGGACAGAGGACAAGAACATGTTGTGTGATTTGGAAAGAAGATATGACAAAATGTGTTGTTGCTGTTTCTCTCTCCCTCCTCCTCTCTACCTGTTTGCTCAGTGCCCTCCTCTTCTCCTCTCCCTTCTCCTCGTTGGTGCCGATCTCCCTCTCAAACTGGGCCTTGAGCGCCTGCAGGTTGACCTCCAGCCTCAGCCTGGAGTTCTCCGCCTCCGTCAGCTCCTCGTCCAGCTCCTGCGTCTGCATTCGCAGGTTCTGTGCTTCAGCTTCTAAGCTCCTGCGGCTGCGCTCCAGTTCATGGACCTGATGCGAGAGCAGAGAGGAGACGGTGACTCACTGAGGATTTAGACAGAGAAATAACAAAGGAGTCCGACGAGAAGGACTCTTACACTCTTGCCGACGTCGTCCTGCTGGTTAACAAGCTGTTCCATTTCCAGACGGAGCTGCTTGTTGGCCCTCTCTAGCTCTTCCTTTCCTTCCTGGGCCTCCTACACACAGAAGATCAAGGAGAGAATGAATCATCACAATCGCAGATACATAACAACCATTGGTGTGCCGTCTACTCTCAGTTGGTCTACCTGCAGAGCTCGGGAAAGTGCCATGTGTCTGGTCTCTTTCTCTCGGCTGTCTGCTTCTGCTCGGTCCTTTTCCTCTGCCAGCCGAGCGCTCACCGCCTTCTCCTCGGCCAGACACTGAGGGGGTGAGAGAGACACAGTGAAGAGGTCAGGAGAAGATATCTCAGAAAGACTTTTGCAGCTGGTGTGTGGAAACAATCTGATGGGGCTCTGACCTGGTCAAACTTCTTCTGCCTCTTCTCCAGGGCCGTGCAGTTCTGCCTCTCTCTCTGCAGGGCGAGGGTCATGTCCTCGATCTCCTCCCTCAGTCGCTCCCTCTGCCGCTCCACCCTCTCCTTCTCCTCCTCCTTCTGCAGCTCCTTTGCGACGGCGCTGTCCAGCTCTCTCTGGAGTTTCCTGCGCGTCTCCTCTCCGGCTTCCACGGCCGTGTTCACCTCCTCCGACTGCTTACGGAGCTCTGCCAGCTGAAAGAGAAAGGGGTTAATAACTCATAATAGTGACGTTGAATCTACACTTTTGGATATTGTGAATTATGAAATTAAATGTGGTAAACTGAAACATGATCCTGCAAGGTTTTCTCTGATTTACCTGCTGGGCATGGGTCTGAATCTGCCGGGTTAACTCTTTGGCTCTCTCCTCCTCTTCCTCCTGTCTCTCCATCAGTCCGTTCTTTTCCTCCTCCAGCACTCGTACCCTCGAGCCGTGAGCCATCTTTTGACGACTTTCATCCTGCAGTTGTTCCTGAGAGAGAAGAAAACATTGAGTGTCAAATGTTCAAGATGGGCACCAATAGTACATTTTCCTAAAAACTATAAATATTCTCTCAAGTGTCTGTGGTTGTAGTCGTATTAAACACCTGCCCAATCCTCTGCTGAGTGTTTCACTGTGTTACCTTGGCATCATTCAGCTGGCTCTCCAGGCTGCTGACCTCTTTGGCCAGCCGAAGGGATTTGGTGTCAGAGGAGGACACACTGCCGCAGAGAGTCTCAAGCTCACACTGAAAAAAGACAGAGTGGATAAGTTTACTTGAACTAATACAGGAAGATCCCTCTACTGCAAACATTCAATCTGACTTCAAAACATACAAATCAACACGAGAGAAAGATTATCTTTCGATCCCGTTTGAATTGTGCCACGAATTACACATATGATGTTTGTCAATTTAAAAGATAATTTTGCAAGTCAAAAAAAGAAAATGTGTCGTAAAACTGTGAAGTAACACTTTTTTTGTGTGAAACCGCTCAATGAACTACATCTCTCATCTCGCACCACACACCAAGACGGCCGTCACGTTGGCATATTTCACTTCTTTCTTTCAGAATGAGGCGGAAAGTATTAAAAGAGGTGAAAATCACTACAAGTCTGGGCATGTTGAGAGCTGTATACAAAAGGGGAGTGAGTCGGTTCCGTAAGAGCCAGCATGCGGGTCCGGGATTCTGGGATTTGTAGTCTTTCTAGTTGCGTATTTTTCATAGTCTTATATTTCAACAGTTTTAAGACAAACTGTGACTTTTTTGACATGGAAATTATTTTTTAAGATTGACAAACATCATATGTGTAATTCATGGCACAATTCAAACGGGAAGATAAGTTTCCTCTCTCCATTGACTTCAATACATAATTTTTCCAAAATAAGGTCCCATGGGTCGGAAGTAGATGGGCGGGCCTCTCTATTTAACCACACAAACAAATTCACAACTGAACAAGTACATCTAAGGCTTGATATCAGTGTGTTGTATCCATTTGCACCTGCAGCTTGTGCACTTTCTCTTCCTTCTCGTCCTGCTCTCTGTCGGCCTGAGCCAGGCGGGCGCTGACCTCCTGCAGCTGACCCTCGGCCCTCTTACGACCTCTCTCGCTCTCCGTGCGGCTCGCTTGGAGGCTCTTAAGTTCCGAGCTCAAATTCAGCCTCTCTTCCTCCAGCACTGATTTGGCCTTCTCGAAGGACTGACGTGCCTGAAAGAGAAGATGGATACCACGCCTGATGAGTGACATGTTTACACGTGGATGAGTCTTTGACAAAGTTGGTGTTTTTGTTCTTCTTACTCTCTTGCTGTTGTCCAGCTGTTCCTGAAGGTTGTCTATGGCACCGCTGTGTTTGACTCTGAGCTCTGAGAGCTGGGCCTCGTGGCGGCGAGCCCCGTCTTCCACACACCGCTGGAGATCATTTAACTCCGCCTCCCGACGAGACCTGTGGAGATAGGATAGGGTCAAATATGTCCTTTATTATCAGGGTATATGCAGGAATCCTGAAGTCAAATGTAATCCCTTTTAAGACCTTTTTTAAGACCCTTTCCATACATTTTAGGCAAGGCAAGGCAAGGCAAGGCAAGTTTATTTATATAGCACTTTTCAACACAAGGCAATTCAAAGTGCTTTACAAAAAATGAAAGAGATTAAGAAAATGGCATTTAAAATCAGTCATTAAAAAGAAAAGCTAATAAAATAAACATTAAAAGAAAAAAATACATGGATAAAAGTTACAGTGATAAAAGTTACAGTGCAGTCTAAGATATGAATAGTTCAATTAAAAGCAGCGACAAAAAGAAAAGTCTTCAGCCTGGATTTAAAAGTAGTCAGAGTTGCAGCGGACCTGCAGGTTTCTGGGAGTTTGTTCCAGATATTTGGAGCATAATAACTGAATGCTGCTTCTCCATGTTTAGTTCTGACTCTGGGGACAGAAAGCTGACCAGTCCCTGAAGACCTGAGAGATCTGGATGGTTCATAATTTAGCAGGAGGTCAGAAATGTATTTTGGCCCTAAACCATTCAGTGCTTTATAAACCAGCAGCAGTATTTTGAAATCTATTCTTTGACACACAGGAAGCCAGTGTAAAGACTTCAGAACAGGAGTGATGTGATCCACTTTCTTAGTGTTAGTGAGGACTCGAGCAGCGGCGTTCTGAATTAGCTGCAGCTTTCTAATAGATTTTTAGTGAGACCTGTAAAGACACCATTGCAGTAGTCGAGTCTACTGAAGATAAAAGCATGGACAAGCTTTTCCAAATCCTGCTGTGACATTAGTCTTTTAATCCTAGATATGTTCTTTAGGTGATAGTAGGCTGATTTAGTAACTGTTTCAATGTGACTGTTGAAACTCAGGTCAGAGTCCATGACTACACCTAGATTTCTGGCTTTATCTGTTGTTTTGAACATTGCAGACTGAAGCTCAGCGCTAACTTTTATACGTTCTGACTTGGCTCCAAAAACCATTACCTCAGTTTTATCTTTGTTTAATTTGAGAAAGTTCTGACACATCCAGTCATTGATTTGTTCAATGCACTTACTCAGTGTTTGAATTGGAGCATAGTCTCCTGGTGAAATTGTCACGTAAATTTGTGTGTCATCTGCATAGCTATGGTAACTTATTTTGTTGTTTTTCATTATCTGAGCCAGTGGTAGCATGTAGATGTTAAAAAGAAGAGGCCCCAAGACCTCATCGCCACTTTGAGTTTTAACCAGTTACATTGGCGACACACTTAACCTCACATTGACTACATACAGTATTGATTGTCCTTCCTACTTATCTTCCAACCATTTGGACGCAAACTTGCATTTCCCCATAACGATGTTGTTTAACAACCGGCATAAACGGAGCTTTGCGCGCTATCGAGCAGTGATTGTGCGATATCCTGTTCAGATGACGTCAAATCCAACGGGATGCCATCAATAAACTACACAGTGTCACACTACACACCTACGCAATGATTACATTCAGGCAAACTGTAGAATACAACCTCTTTGGACCATTTATATACTTATTGAAAACAAGCTACAAAATGGAATACCTTGGAAAATGCCGTTCAATACTTTTTAATAGCCTTAATTTTCACTAAATTGATTTATCAACTTTTAATACTTTTTAAGACCCCGCGGACCCCCTGTTCATGATTTATTTTTTAGTCCTGATCTGACAAGAGAAATACAAAAATGGAACAATCAGAGCCTAAATGTATGTGCGCATTTACCTGAGCTCTTGCTGGGCAGCTGTGGTGTCCAGTGTGTCCTCCAGCTCGGTTCTCAAAGCCTCCAGCTCCTCCCCTAAATCTCTCCTCTGTTTCTCCGCCCGCTCCCTCATCCCTCGCTCATTCTCCACTTCCTCCTTCAGCTCAGACACCTGGGACATGGCCTCTCTCAGCGACCTCTGAGCTTCAGCACGACGAGCTCCTTCTTCCTCCAACCTGACAGAAACAAAGAAACATTTGTTTTGTTCCGCTTATGGTCATGCACAACTAAAAAAACGCTAAGTAAAAGGTGTCGGGTGTCAGATCTTTGATTGGGCTTTATTTGTGTTTCAGCATCTATCGTGTGTGTGGTCCTCTCACCGGCCCTGCAGGGTGGTGATCTCCTTCTCCTTCTGAGCCAGACTGCCCCTCAGCTCGGCGGACAGCATGCCCAGGTCTGAGAGCTGCTCCTGGGCTTCCACCGAGTCGTTCTCCATCCTCCTCTTAAACTTCTCCTGCTCCAAGCGACCCTGCTCCTCACGCTTCAGGCGCTCTGCACACGGTTTATTTGTTTGTAATATTTGTATTTGGTTTATTTTCTAAATTATAATGACTTGTAAGCCTTCTTGGGCTAGGCATAATATGTTTGCATGACACAATAATAATTGAAAGTCAATATATCAATGTTAGAATATAAATGATAAAGGTATTGGATTTTATTTCAACATTTTAAAGTTGTGTCTTTCAAAAGAATTCATAGAAACACATGTAGGTTGCCTGTGTGATGACATGAGGACATTTACCCTCCAGGTCAGCGATGACGGCCTCTTGTTTGTTCTTAAGTTTGTTCAGACTTTTAGTTTTCTCCTCTTCCTCAGTCAGCTGATCGGTCACCTCACTCAGACGCTCTTCAAAATGTTTCTTCTCCTGTTTAGTAAAACAAAGCATTGCATTGAAATGTGTGATGCACAAAACAAACACAAAAGATGATTAACTGTGATGCCCACCTTGCTGAGTCGGTCTCTCTGCTCCACTGTAGTAATCAGGTCCGTTTCAAGACTCTTCACTTTGGTCTCCAAGGTAACCTTCTCCAGCAGGAGGCGCTGTCGTGCACTTTCCTCCTCCTCTAACTGCTCTTCCAGGTCCTGAAAAGAGGATACCATTTAAATAACATGCAGGGAAAGGAAGCTCAAATCTCAGATTCACTTATTTTCACTTTGTCTCCTTACCTGAACATTCTGCTGCATCCTCTTCTTCTCATTGGTCAACTGCGTGCCTCTCTCCTCCTCTTCCTCCAATCGAGTCTCCATCTCGCCCAGCACCTCCTCGAGCTCCTGTTTCCGACTGGCCAACCGCGCCCTCATCTCCTCCGCCTCCGCAAACAGCTCCGCCTCGGCCTGCAGCTGGTCAGCCAGCACAGACTTCTCCTCGATCAGCTAGAACGTGTAAGTAAGTCAAGTTTATTGATAATGCGCTTTTCACAGACAAAGTGCTTGACAAAACAATAAAACATCATCATAGGAATCGTACAATGATAAATGAACACACAAGCCACGTGTTAAGAAGTCATAAAAGCACCAAAACATAATAAAAACACAATAAAAACTAAATAAAAACGTAGTATAAAATCACGCACACCGGTTACTCTGTGTACCGTTGTACCGGTGTACAAGAGAGGAGGAAGAGGAGGAAGAGGAGGAAGAGGAGGAGGTGAGCGAGGCACTGATTATATAGACATTTTTATTGATTGGGATAAACCCCTTGAGATGCACCATCTCGTTTTCAAGGGGGTCCCGACAATAGCAACAACTTACAAACATACATAAACAAAAAGACAAAATGCAAAACATGACACACAAGACAAACCACATACAGTCTGTTAAGTGAAATTCAAGCAATGCATACAATCATTACAATTTGAGACAGTCAAGCAAATCAGTTTCATCAATATCAGTTTCATTAATAACAAGTACAGACCAGTTAAAAGTGAGATGATAATGCATGTTTAAACATACACAATGATGCAAGAGATCTAATAGCAGCAGGTAAAGTATTCCAGTCAGTTGGGGCTTTGAACATGAACGCTCTTCTGCCAGTCAATTTTTTTGCAGAGGGGACAGAGAAATAAATCTGAACAGAATGTCTAACTTGATGAATTGGTGAGTAGGGTACAAAATACTGCTTTAAATAAGGGGGATAGTTAAGATAAATGCATTTGAATATCAGCTGAAGACAATGCGTGTGTCTTCTTACATTTAAAGAAGGCCATTTAAGTTGGTTATACATTGTGCAGTGATGTGTACGAAAAGGACAACCAAGAACAAATCTGCATAGTCTATTGTAGGCTATGTTGAGTGGAGCAAGATCTGATTTATGTGCATTTTGGTAGACAACATCACAATAGTCCATAATCGGAAGAATAAGTTGAGAAGCAATTCTCTTTCGGACACTGAGTGTAAAACAATTACGGAATCGGTGTAAAACACCGATTCCGTAATTGACTTTTTGTATTACATGCTTTATATGTAGTTTAAATGAAAGTTCCGAGTCTAGCCATACACCAAGATATTTAAAGCTATCAACTTTATGCAGAGAAGTGCCATCCTTACATGTTATTACTACATTAGGTTTGGATTTGAGCTTCTGCCTGGTACCAAAGACCATGGTATAAGATTTTGTTTTGTTAAGCAGTAGTTTATTGTGTGATAGCCAATCAGGATCCTATCAATCCTGATTGATAGGATGGGGTTTTCATTGTAGGGTAGACAGCAGAACAAGATGGAGGTTTGTTTACCTGAGCGTGTTTCTTGTCCAGGTCTGTGTAGTCCTGCTCCACTCGGGTGACGTGATCCTTGGCCTTCTGGAGGTCCGCCTCCCTGACCTGGATCTCCTCATCCTGCCGGGTCACCTGCAGCAGGGGCTTCACCTGGTCGGCACAGAACAACGGGGTCAGAGGTCAATGTGAGGGACGTCCCAATTCCTGCATCCCTTATGATTTAATTCCCTGGCTTTCTACATTTGTCATTCCTTTGTCAAGGATCTAAAGTCAATGTAGGGATCATACAACATATTGCAAAGTTAAATGACCCAATCCAGTTGAGTTTTCTTTAGTAAATATGTGTGTCTATTGTGAGCATGGATGCTAAATATTTTCCTACCTGAACCAATTAGTAAGGATATCTCTATTTATATTTGCGATCACATTTCAGCAGAACATTTAAAAACAATGCTAGTTTGATTGGCTGGTACAACTGAAAATAAATTCAATCAAAAGGAGAATAGAAGTAAACCGAAGCTTTACAGCTGATTCAGAGATCACCATTGGCTACGTTTATTGTTTATTTTACATCTGTGTTGTAATGTAGTGGTACCTTGGTGAATAGCCGCCACCACTGCCAGTTCCTGAGTTTGAGGTAAGCGGCACAGTTCCTCTGCATCACCCTCAGAGCGCTCATCTGCTGCTGCTTCTTCGTGAAGGCTCTGAGAAGTCAAAAAACAATATAATAAGTCAACAAAACGATATGGGCTTATCGCAGGGGCGGATCTAGAAAAATATTCATGGGGTGGCAAGAGGGTGGCAGGAGATTTTGAGGGGTGGCATCCCCTGGCAGAAGTATATTTAATCGCAGTCATATCAATCAATGTTAACTTGGAAAGCCACAATATTGATATTTTAACTCAATAACATTAGGTGACATTATTGTGGCGCAACAGTAAATCCTTAAATATAAAAATATAAGGTGGCAGACATCATTTAATGAATTTTAAATGAACAATAACTGAATGAGTCAACAAAACGATATGGGCTTATCGTGACATGTCTGAAATGAATATAGGTAGTGGCTATCTTTCAAACAGAACATATAATATTTCAGGTAAAAGCTCTTATTTATTACTTCTTGTATACTTTAACTTCCTTTGTGCATTAAATGTGTTATAAAAATAAACTGACCTCTGATTAGTTAGCCTCCATTGTAAAATATAACATTAATATTCATGTCCTTTACAGGCCAAATAGCTGTCAATGTTGTTTAAATGACTGAGTCACTGATATGGGCTGACAAAGGATTAAATATTAATGCTCCTTTAAGAGGGAAATACAAAACGGCCTCCAGATTAGCAGCGAGTTCTCCTTAGAGAGAAATCCCTTGTGTGCTACAGTAGATGTTTGTCTACCACTATCCATTAAGATTGATTCGGTAAGAAATTGACTAGCTGATAATAAATAAACAAAGGCAATCAATGTGTTACACCAACATTGCATTTAGCTGACGCTTTTATCCAAAGCGACTTACAATAAGTACATTCGACCAAGAAGATACAAACTTGAAGAAGATCATATAAGTACAGGTTTCATAGAGCCAAAACATTTCAAGTGCTACTCAACTGGCTTTAGATAAGCCAGTCCTTTATTAGTATACAAGTGCTTTGTTAGTCATTTTATTGCTCGAAGTGGAGTCGAAAGAGATGAGTTTTCAGTCTGCGCCGGAAGATGTGTAAGCTTTCTGCTCCAACAGGAAGAACATTTTAGCCTCTCTCTCTTTGCTGATGTTTGAAATGAGATAATGAGATAATGCTCTTACTTGCGAGCGAGGTAGCCTCTGGAGGCGCTCTGGAAGCGAATGATGGTGTCTGTGACCTTCAGGTCTCTCTCTTCCTCCAGATGAGCCAGGACTCCAGCTCTGAAGAAGACTTTACTCTGACCGACCCTGAACAGGTTGAGATCCAGCTCCAACGCTTTGATCTGAACACGGAAACAGTGGTTGGAGTTTTCCAGCATTTATATAGTGAGTTGTATTCTCATAGCTCCAGAACAATGACTCACCATGAGCTCTGATGCCTGTTTGCCATCCATGAAGGTGCGAGGAATAGCATTAGGAGTCAGGATCTCATATCTGGAAGACAAATGTGGTTTTGTAAATATGAGTGTTTGAGTGAAGGAAATAAGTCTGAGGTAAAAAGTGTAATTAAGGAGCCATAGGAAGGGCTCACATACAATCACACACACCTCTGTCTGAACTCCTGGAATGGGATGCGGTTAGGGAAGCCTTGTCTGCAGATACGGATCCCTTCCAGAACTCCATTACACCTCAGTTGGTCTAAAACCAGGTTTGGGGCCAGCTTACCAGCCTGACCACAATTAAAGGTACAAGAATGGACATTTTAAATCAAACATTTCTTATTATTTCCACCTGCTATTTGTCTGTTTTAGTTTAAATCTGTGCCTATCCTTTTTTCTTACCTTCTTCTCGTGGTTGGGGATGATGCAGCGGAGGAAGTTGGGGTTGGTGTTCCTCAGTGTGGCCATCAGCTTTGTGAGAGACTCTTTGTACAGCTGACCAACGGTCCTGAACATCCCCTTCTTCGTCTTCAGGCCTGACCCTCCGAACGAGACCGGCCCGCTGCTGTCGCCTGTCGACACCTGGTCCACACTCACGATCCTGTCCACTGGACGCAAACATAGAGCGGGGCCTCAGTTTAGTGGAGTAAAAAAGAGTGTTTGCCAGATTTGGCATGATGATGTCGGTGTTAATGCCACACTAACGTAATGGCTATCAACTAGTACTTACACATCTGCTATCAAGTCTCTGCACAGATGATATCAGATTGTAGAGGAGTACATTAGAGATGCAACAATATTGTGTTAAATTCAATGACAGCAGTTTATATTTGCCAGACCAGTGACATACACAGTCTTAACACGGGGCATGACACATTTTTTAGGTTCACCTGTTTGTTTTAACATGTCTCGACAGGCATGACCGCAAATTTGTCTCATGATTCAGTCGATCCTTATTCGACAGGTTTGTTTAGCAATTTACTCTAAGAAAAATGTAGGCAATTCCACAATTAGCCTTATATTATTTACAATATAAAAACTATTAGACCAATACTGAGGTGGCTTTTAAAACTCTTTAAATGGTAGTATTGTATACCAATATGTTGCATCTCCAGAGCTCAATCAGGATCACATTTCTGCCTGGTTGGTTTTCATAAAACCGCTCCAGTGGCAGATGTTTGTGGACGCATTTTGCAGCACAACTCTTATGTGATCCTGAGTGGGATTTTTGTGACTAACCGTGAGCATGCTGCTACCTTTACCTGGACATTTCTACACAGCCTAGATTCATTACTTCTACTCTATACATGGAAACAACTAGATCACACAAACACAGCACTGTCACTAAAAGCAAAACTTGGTGAAGAGCAAAGAGAGAACTGAGCAGACAGCACAGTGACGATACAAAACAATAATTAACTACATGTAACAGCTCGTGACACCACAGCACAACTAAACACAAACTGCAATCTAACAGCGGACAGACAGTTAAACAAAGGAGCCATGTTAGCAGAGTGAGGAATGTGAGTGTGACACAGAGGAGGAGAAAAACCTACTGTCGGAGCCATTAGCCTGGATTGTGGCAAAGGAATCAAAGAAGTATACACGAGGAAGAGTTTGAATATCTGATGCAGGAAGAAGGAAGGAAGGCAGAAGAGGAAAGGAAACAAGGAGCCAAGGCAAGCACCAAATGAGTGGAAAGGGGACAGAAGGAAAAAAGACCAGAGAAGTGAACAAAGGTGAAAACAAGAAGGAGGAATAACAGAGAGAGGAGCAGAGAGTGAGAGCCAGCAGATAGATGGAAGAGTTACAGGATAGAGAAAGAGAAGAGAAAGAAATACCGTAAAGTTAGAACATTTTGCACCAAAAAATACATTGTTTATACTTGACAAGCCTGCATAAAATAAAGAAAACAGAAATGTATTATATTGTTGTTAAAAGTACACTCTTTTAAATGTTTACATGAAGTCTACAGATGATAGGTTTACTGTACATGATTATGAATAAACGTGAACCAGTCTCACCCTCCTTCCAAAGCTCTGAGACAAAGTGATCAGACGACTGGTGGAGAAGAGACGCCACGTTGTCGTTCAGAGGATCCATGTTTTTCACTAACCAATCATGTGCCTTGTAGTCCACCTGAGAGACATTACGGAGGGCAGGGGACATTTCAGTGCATTCCTTTGAATGGTAAATACGGGAAGCACGGAAAGATGTTAAGAAATGATGGGATACCTTGCCAGCATAGTGAATGATGGAGAAGTCTGCTTCCCCACGTGGTTGCTTTGGTTTGAAGAATTTCGGATGGGTGCCTTGCTCAGCGGACACCTTCTCCACAAATGAGCGGTCGGTTGCCCGGGGAAACCAGCACTCTTCATCCAGCAGCGCCAGCACACCAGGCGGGTGGGCCTAACAGAGACATTTATTGTGAGTGAAATCTGGACTTTATAGTTCAAATAACAATGCCTCAAAGCAGAGCGTGCACTGCCCACTACGTTTGTGTTTCTATTCATGTCCTTTTATCCACTTTGTCTTCTTCATCCATGGGTGTGGTTGACTGTGGTGAAGTGAACAGGTTCTATGTCCCACAGGTTCAATCTGGAACTTCCCACACTCACCAAACAATGCACATAACTGATATGACCATTATAGACCCTTAGCATCTGTCATTCAAATGGTAAAGTATTAATATGTGTATTCACTGGTTTCTCGATGAGGTCAATGCACGGCTGTAAGTCAAGGCCGAAGTCGATGAAGTTCCACTCGATGCCCTCCCGCTGGTACTCCTCCTGCTCCAGGATGAACATGGTGTGGTTGAAGAGCTGCTGCAGCTTCTCGTTGGTGTAGTTGATGCACAGCTGCTCAAAGGAGTTCAGCTGCAGAGGAGCAATTTAAGAAAGGAGAAATGTAATGTTAACTATGATAGAAAACGCTTGTTAGACAACGTTTGACAATACACTGACGATCCACACATCTACATGCTTCTAATGCTATCCGCGATCTGATACTCATTGTAACAGGTCCTTAAAACATTTTGAAATACAAAGGAAACAGGCCTTATAACAAATATATCAGAACAATTGATCATACTTCATGATGGTTTTTTTATAATTTACATCAAACTAACAATCATTATATGTACAAACCTGGAAGATCTCAAATCCAGCGATGTCCAGGATGCCTATGAAGGAGGCTCCCTGCCTCTGCCTGCGGTCCAGAGCTCTGTTGATCCTGTGGACCAGCCATCTGAACAGACGCTCATATGAAGCCTTCGCTAAGGCCTCCACAGCAAAGTCAGCCTAGATGAGAAAGGGTACTCTGTCAGATACACTTCATAGACAAAAACATGTTTATCTGTAAGAGCAAAAACACCTATGCACACAAATCGTACCTGTTCTTTGGTCTGGGCCTTCTGCACATACTCTCGACCCACTTTGATTCTGGGAGTGAGGATGGCCCGGGTGAACTCCAGCACGTTGATGCCCAGCAGATGGCACAGTTTCTGAGCGGCTGTGTTATCAGGCATCGAAGCCTGATCGTGGTGCTTCTCCTTCATGAAGGAAATGTTCCCCAACTGGAGCACAGAGGAGATCACCTTCAGCATGGCTGAGGAGAGGTGAGACAGGGAGGGGGGAGGTGATTAATAGAAGGGATCAAATGTGCAAAAAGCAAACAACTTTCTCTCCTCTCCATCGCCTCCTCTCTTACATAGCGACTCCTCTGGGGTGAAGCCCATTATAACCATGGAGTCCATGGTCTGGGTGAAGTTGTCTGCATCGCTCTGACCAGCGACAGGGATGGAGCCTCCGCTGAGAAAGCGGTACTGATCAGCAGTTCCTAAAAGCAGGTCCGCTATGTAAGGGAAAATAAGGGTTGAACAGAGTGATTGATTTAAGCGCTAACAACATGAATAACTACAGGACAAAGATACATTTTCAACAGAAACACATACAGTATGTTTTGTAGTATAGCAGCAATTTACTCTGTATTCACATGTTTGCAACTATTGTCATTTGGCTCACCTTTTGTCTCTTCAGAAGTTCCACACAGAAGCTGGTAAAAGATATGGAACGTCCTCTCGTCTTTGGCCTGACGGGTGGCCCGGGACTTTTCCAGGAGGTCTGGATTTATTGGTCATGGAAATATACAGCTGAAACTAGATATATTTTCCTTCTGTCCTTTTCCACGTTTAGCTTTAAAATCTGAATATAGCATATGTAATATTAATGTGTACGTGATATCAAAACAACCTATGATCTATTACTTCCATACGTTTCAGAAAGCACCTTGGGTCGGAAGCCTTTTCGCCTAAAAACTCTGCATATATCAGCTAACTTAGACAGCAAGAGGAAATTAATCTTTCAAAGACTTTGATAGTATGAAAAAGGATACAGGTTTCGATGTTGGCACCAACAATGTACCCCGCCACATCAAAATTAATGCGGATGAATTTACCCTGAAAAACAAAGAAAGAGAGGAAAGAGTTTCATATCAATTGTACAGTAAATCATCAAACGGACAATAATGAAGGGAGGTAATATAAATATATAAATATAAACATATATCTGTTGGTGCAATGTATCTTGTTTGCTCTTACAAATCTAGAGGAGTTGTCGTTCTTGACAGTCTTTGCGTTGCCGAAGGCCTCCAGGATGGGGTTGGCCTGCAGCAGCTGTCTCTCCAGCTCACCCTGAGACACACAGGGGACGTCAGATCAGATTCACAGCACAACAAAGACAACAGCCTCCACAAAATACTTCCATAGGGCCCATCCATCAACTAAAATGCACCATATAACCATGCTCTTCCTAAAGTTACTACTGATGTAATGTAAAACAACAACAAGCATGTCACAGAAAGAGCAGTGGCAGAAAATGGTGCAATTAAGGGCCCAGAAAAGCATCTGCAAACACACACCATCCCCAGACCCGGGAACAAATGATTCTCAACATCAATAAAGATAATAGGCCCTCATCAGTTTAGCAATCAATAAGGGCATCAATCATGTTTCATATTTAATTCATTAAAATGTGATTGCCTACATTATTAAAATCTATCAAGAGTCGGTTGAGAACCACTGTTGCAGAAAAACATGGGCCGAGGGAAGCCGCAGATTTAGATGCTATCATACACAAGCTGCATATTGGCTGGTTCTAGCTGCAATGCATTACTTTATGTTGTCGCATTGCCAATGCAGCAGCTGTTGATGCAGCATCAGCAGCTTTAGCAGCCAGTGATGGGGAGCTACTGTAGCTACTGGATGTATAGGAATGCAGACAAGCCAACACCAAAGACACATACCTCCGCACACACACACACACACACACACAGCAGTACAGCACATTTTATTGTGCATATGTGAACAAAACCACATATTTAAATGTGTAAACTTGTTGACTTGCTACACACACACACACACAAACACACAAACTGGTGCAACAACACACACACTTACTCACCTGAATCTGCACTCATTCAGATTACACACACACTGTTCAGTTGATGTAATTTACATCAGAATGTTCTTACATTTTTATAGCAACATAAAAACCCGTGACATTTACAAGTCACTGTAAATGTGAAGCCAAACATCAGCGCGCTAAGAATTGTTTTGGTTGCCAAAACTACACATCCAAAAAGCCAGGGCTCATTCAGCGCTAAGCGCAGAAGACATGATTCTCGTCATGTATCAAGAGAATCATTTTAGCATTTTCTACATAGACATTTCTACAATGCGTCACCCCAATGTCTCTAAATACTCTCATACTCACATATTGCATGCTCTGACGAGGGGGATATTAGGTTTTAGGAGGGAGGAGAATGGTTGGATGGGATAAACAAAAAAAAGACAAATAAGACAACAATAACAACCACAACAGTTAATGGGGTTACAAACACACATCATCAAATAAAGTGTACAAGGCTCAACTGTCATGAGGAACCACATCAGTGCTGACAGGTAAAGGTTTACTCTGTTAGTCAGTTCATTAAGCAGGAAACAGGATGGGACCAAAGCACAGGACAGCAGGAAAGAGTTAACTCACCCTGTTCACCAAAGTACAGCCTCTTGTTAAAGACCTAGAGCCGTCCATCTGAACATGCAGGAAAGAGAGAGCCGCAGTGCCGAGAGAGGAGAATGAGGGGAAACAAGTGCAGGAAGAAGGGTAAGGAAACTTGCTGAGAAAATGCAGAAATCAGGACTGATTGATAGAGGCATGTGAGGTAAGATAACTGCACCCGCAGGAAAACCCATAGTGTCTTATGATCATAAGAATAAGTTAGTGTGAATGAATAATAAAGAGGAAAGTGATTGAGGTTCAAGGGAACTTTGAAATAAATCATCCACCACTGAAAGCACTGAAACAAGGTGAGTTGTATTAGGTTAGAGGAGTAACATTTGGGGAAATGTGCTTTTGTTATTCCTTTCCTACAGCCTGAACCCTATTTCTTTACCCCCTTAAAGCTCCTTTATCACACTCTCTATTTTTCCTGTTATCCCTCATTAATGTTTCTGAAAGGCCGCTCTTCCCTGTGTATGTTGTTTCTTCAGCTGCTCTTCTTTTAGTCAGACTTCTGTGGTGTCTCTGTTGGGACTTACCTGTAAAGCTTCCTTGTTTCTTCCCAGAGTGCCTCCCTTATGGGAAGAGGCAACGTGAGCCATATACTGGATGACTTTCTTAGTGTTCTCTGTTTTCCCAGCTCCAGACTCGCCTCTGGAACAAAAACACACACAACCAAGTTAGTAACACACAGAATAAAAAAAGAATTCTCTTTACACAATGTCCCATCGAAACACATATGGTCTCAATTATGAATGGTATATGCATTTTAAAGACAGAGAACACACAGGAACAAATGGCCTAACTCTCATTCATCACACCAATAACTATAGGGCCCATGCAGTGCATTCAAAGCCACAGGTCTAAACAGAAAGCAGGTGTGGAGGATACAGGCAGCGTCAGTATTGTTGCTTTTGGAGAAGAACGAAGGAGCATGGGGTAAAAATAGCAGCTGTAAAAGTTCTAAAAGGAGCCGAGCAGACGCCTCGTCCCAAATACACTGATTTAAGATGGAAGTGGGATCCTTGACAATGACAGGAAGAGTCTGGCAGGAAGACATGATGACAGGGAGATGGATTGAGAGTAGGTAGGCAAAGCATGGGCACAAACAGACAGGAGGAGGCATTCACATTACAGGCAAGACATCTTTTATTTTCTGTCCTGATTCTTTGAATTCCTGTTTGAGAACGGCCCCTACCAAAGATCAGTGTGCACATTGATATGTCCTGTACATGTAATTGTGCATTTAAAAGAGTCTTATCCCACATTAACTATGAATATCTGCAACAAATGATACACGGTTAAGAAGGCCAGAAAGTATTTAAGGTCGAATTTTAGATGTATTATTTTTGTGTCAGAGACGAATTAAAGAGGCAGTCCCTTAATCATCTGTATTATAATGACAGAGAAACACACATTTTAGATATTAACATCTAATGTCCGGCAGTGGCTCAGTCAGTAGGGGCTTGGACTGTGAGGGTTCAAGTCCCCGACCAGACCTAAAATATGGAGTGTGGACTGCTACTTGGAGAGGTCCCAGTTCACCTCCTGCCCTGCTGTGGTGCCCTTGAGCAAGGCACCGGACACCCCCCCTTCCCCCCTCACTCCCATTGCTCCCGGGGCGCTGTACAATAGCTGCCCACTGCTCCTAGTACTAGACTCCTGGTACTAGGATGGGTTAAAAGCAGAGGCCAAAGTGTGTGTGCTCTGCATGTGTGACCATTAAAGAGAGTTTCATCCCTCCCAATTCTATTCTTCTACATTTCGAGTTTTTTTAAAATAATTTTGTCAAAGAACCATCTTGCTTCAGTTTGCAGATTGAAGAGTGTCTTAGAGATGTAATTGGGATAATAGGCACCACCTCCCACAATAATATGCTGTCCTAGATCTGATCAAAATGTACAATACAAATGATTCTTATAATACTTAAAATCGGAATCTGTAACTGAATGCATATTTATATTGATGATCTGTTCAAGCGACTGAAAGCCTGTAATACTGGATGCATGATTGGTAGTACTAGTGAACCATATTATGTCTGCAGATGATCTTGTTGTGCTGAGTCCATCTAGCGCTGGTCTTCAGCAGCTTCTTGCTGTTTGTTCTGTGTATGGTGTGGAGCATGACATCAAATACAACGCCAGTAAGAGTGCTGTCATGATCTTTAGAACCAAAGAAGATAAATGTCTAACATTTCTTGATTTTAAATTGTCTGATATTAATCTTAGTGTCTGTAATAAGTTAAAATATCTTGGACACTTTATTACAGAACAAATGACAGATGATGAAGATATTTATAGGCAATGCCGCATGATGTATGCACAAGCAAACATTCTCCTATGTAAGTTTAGTGCGTGTACAGATGGAGTGAAGATGTCTCTGTTCAGAGCATATTGCACACCGCTCTATACGGCACATCTGTGGTCAAACTACAGAAAAGCAAGCTTACGGAAACTTCAAGTAGCTTATAATGATGCCATGAGAATATTTCTGAAGAGACTTCGATGGTCTAGTGCAAGTGAAATGTTTGTGGCTGCAGGAGTCAATACTCTACAAGCTGTTTTAAGAAATCTTATGTATAAATGTATTTGCCGGCTTAATGACTCTGATAATGAAATCCTCTTGGCCTTATCGAACATAAGGTTTAGTACACGCTACCAATCGCAGCTGTGGAGACATTGGAATAGTTGTCTCTTTGTAGGACACTGATTTAAATTATTCTTAAACTATGAATTATTTTTATGCTGTGTATGTAATTTATTATATGTAATGTCTTGTATCTGGACCCTGAGTCTGTAATAAAGTTTTCATTCATATGTGCACATGGAGGCACCAATACAAACAAATGAGCACACACTAAAACACACACACACACTCCAACAGTCTCATGGTGACCCGCACAAAGATTCTCCTGACGGCAAAGTACAAAGCCTTCACAGTCACACTCAAACACTGGCGTCCTACAGCAGGCTACTCACGTGCAGAGGATTGCCTGATCTTCTCTGTCTGTGAGAGAAAAACAATGTGAGGACAAATGAGTGACATATAGAAAGATGAGTGTTAAACATGTGGTTTAATACAATGCTGACAAGAAATTAACATTAAACAGCCTCAAGGATCCCGACTCTGCTTATTTGAAAGGCTATGCATGTTGACATAAGATGACTTGAAATAACACAGTGTACAGTGCTGTATAGGAGTAAAGGGGTTTATAATACAAGTGGGATATCTTGGCCAGGAGAAACGTGACATGATTTTCATATCGTCCCATGCCTACTCGCACCACAGGTTTTAATTAGCACTGTATTATATGTGCTATTAGCCCTCTAGCCCACTGCTACTGTGCATATATCCCTGACTGTGCTGTGACTCTGGCATGTCAGTCACTCCGTCACTAATGAGCACGTAGAGAGAAGCAGGCCACCAGACAAACCACACAGCACTGCTAGGAAATGGGTGGACATAGTTCAAACATTACCTCGTATTAGTTAAGATTCCCACATGTTCAGTCTAGAATAATTCATACTGGTCCTACTGGTTGGATCAGTGTGGAAACACACCTACAAGCTACCCTCATACGCAGACACAGAGCCTCCTCTGTCCTGTTCTCTTAGTAAAACATCCTGAGGCAGAGACGTTGCTCAATCCTTAACTGCTTTTTGGTGGTTGCTGGGAATTCACTCTCATGAGCTCAACATGCCAGGAATGGCCCAGAAACATATCTGTCACGCATTGTTGTCAGGAGTGTAATATGTGCCTACTATCACCACCACAACAAATACACATCACCTCGTTACAATCCTCACTGTGCCACGCCTAGAAGTCTCTGTTGCGTACAAAACCGACCACACCTTTACATTTATGGTGTGGCTTAGCGATCAAAGATCACAGAGGGGGATTCTGTGCTGCGTTGTAAGCCAGCTGAGTAGAAACATAATGTTTGGGTTGGGTAAGTGTCGGAGGTAGTCAGGAGTCAGAGTTCATAGGTAGTGTAGAATACCTTGTAGCATGCTGCGATAGGCGGCCTCTGATATGGCGTAGATGTGAGGGGGCATCTCGTGGCGTTTTTTGCCCCGGTACATGTCCACGATGGACTCTGTGTAGATGGGCAGGTTCTTGTAAGGGTTGACCACCACACAGAAGAGCCCTGAATATGTCTGGAGAAACACACAGAGCAGAGAGATTAACATATTCTCATGGTGAACTCCACGAATGGCTTTATTTCGGTATCAGTATTGCTTTGTCTGTTGGATAACTCTCTCTCTGCAGATGCTCAGTCACTAGAGTTAAATGGTTCGTGCTTGATTCAAGAAAACGGTCAATAACTGTGGGTGGTTTAGCCTCTCCTGTTTGATAACTGCAGGAGTAGTATTCTCTTATTAAAACATTGCACCGCAGTAAACCAAGCGTTAAGCAATCAATGCAAATCTGTCATTTACATGATTCAATATATTATGCCGGTGAGCAGCATTGTCCAAGATTACTTATAGTGATACGGTAAAAACCTCAACATCTGAACATTCATGGAACTGTCAATTAAACTAATTTCGTTCAAGCTAAAAATGTTCAGCCATTTAAAGACTGACCAATGACACGTCATATCATAACATACACACACATGGTTACAGTGAAGATGGCTGTAGTCAGCAGTTCTTCTATACGACAGTTGGCTCATGTAAATGAGTGCTGCATGATATGAGGAGCTTATGCAATAACGTTGAATATCCCGTGAACAATATTGCTTGTAAAAAATAAACTAATATTCTATAACACATAGGTTTGAGCAAGCTCTCCGATTGGTCAATAGGTGTGTTTGATTCCACGATCAAACAACGATCAATAGAACGTGCCTAATCACAAAGTATCCAGTGGCCTACACACGCCACTAGCCTACCGAAACTACTTCCATGAGCCTACATCGTGTGGTTTCCATAGCGACGTTTAGCGACACACAGCCGTTACACTGTTATACATTGTCTCTCGTTGGAAATCGGTAGCTACAAAATGTCAGATTTTAAAGTTAATTTTGATTTGTTGGGGGGCCTCAGTATTGATGAATGGTTGGGCATGGACACAGACAGAAAGATGTGGAGCAACGCGCTTCTTGCCGGTCCGGGACACGCCATGACACGGCCACTGGAGGAAAGCTCTTCCTGTAACGTAGTCCTACCCGTGAACACCACCGCACCCCCTGCAAAAAAGTCTGGCATGGAGTTCATGGAGAGCTGTTTCAAGAATTGCACTTTTAATGGCAGCATGAACATCCACCTTCATTCTGAACCCAAAATGTTTCAGCACCATGGACAGCCTGATTTGATTTGTTCCGCTTATCCCACGCAGTGATTACTCAGATATTTAAATAGCCTAATTCAAGAATTGTTTTCAATAAATTGGTTAATAATATATTATTTACTATAATTATATCAATAACTGTAAGCGGGGTAGCAGGAGTGTTCGATTGATCGGCTATCGTTACCATGGGAACTACTTTCTAGGAACTACTTTCTGACGGAGATTAACTCCAGCAGAAAGCGTAGGTTTGGGAGCAAATCAGCCCACATTATGAAATTATTTTACGATATTGTTGATTACAATGATAGTTTGTGTAATAGAATCGCAATAATACACTTGAGGCCGTTCTTGAAGTACAGGCAGTACTGTCGTACCAATAATGACGTTCAAGAACGGCCTCTCGTGTATGATTGCTTAATTAAACGTCTACTCAGCTCTGCCTTTCTGCTGCTTATAGATGGCTAGCAGCCTATGGCAGAGATCCATAAAATACCAGCTAGCTTTGACTGCTCCACTGTCACAACGGCACCGAGGTAAAGCCTAGAAATCCTGTATTTAAAAAACACTGTTGCACAAAAATGTTTCAAACAGTGAATCAAGCTAAAATAGTGTGGGATCCTCGGTGCAAGCCGAAGGGACTATTCAGTGGACATTTACATTTCCACAGCATCTGTAATAAACATGAACAGCTAGAACATCTCCTCCTTGAGTCCAATATTGTTTGGGAATATCTGAATCTTGGCTAAAACAGTCGTCACCATCCACTCTTGTATCTATGTCAGGATATAATGTGTTTAGGAAGGACAGACTGAAGGGAAAAGGAGGGGGTGTGTTGCTTTATGTGAGGAATACCTTTACTTGTAGGGAGATTGCACTCCCAGCTAATATTGAATTTGATTGTGTTGGTGTGGAAATCACACTTTGAGGAAATGTCCCTCAACATGATTTGCCTGTATCGACAACCCACCGCTAAGGTGGATTTCTATGACCAGGTACAACTCCTGCTGAATTCCTGTGACTCCAACAAAGAGCTAATCATTGTAGGAGACTTTAATATCAACTGGAATGACAAACAAAATAGAAAAAGCTTAAAATGGATCACGAATAAACACAACTTAATACAACTAATGGATCAACCGACTAGAATAACCAAAACCTCCAAGACTATGATAGATTTAGTATTTACAACAAAGCTGACAGAATAGTTAAAACATACAACTTCCTGACTGATCTTTCTGACCATAATCTTGTTCTTTTTGCCAGGAAACTCACAAAAAAAAGGTTCATGGCCACAGCTAAAACCCCTGCCTTGGCTTCACGCTTCATCCCCAAAAACCTGCAACAACGTTTTATGGAGGCAGTGAAAATGATTAATTGGGGGAACACTGTCCTCTGAAGACATTGGTGAAAACAGTGATCTGCCTTTGGGACAGGAAGGAACGTCATCTTCCCTGGCTGAATCTACAGTGCAGGAATTTAATGAAATCTAGAGACCAACTATTAAAGCAGAGCTTGAAATCCGGACTATCCACTGACAGACAGAAATTCACTCATGCTCGTAACAAGGTAACACAAACAATAAGACAGGCCAAAGCAAACTTTTTCATCAACATAATTGAAATCACAGAGGTGGAGGTAAAACATATAATCTTAGGGTTAAGAGGTTCTAAGGCTAGGGATGCAGATGATTTCGACACCAACTTTATAAAGACAAATATCGACGGTCTAATAAAACCAATTAGTATGTTAGTAAATCAATCTATCAGCACGAGGGAAGTTCCATCGTCCTGGAAGGTGGCCACGGTGACACCGATCTATAAATCTGGGGATAAGGCAATAATGTCCAATTACAGACCAATCAGCATCCTCCCCTGTGTCTCTAAGGTAGCTGAGAATGGGTGTCAAAACTAATCACCAAACATTTAGACAAAGGTTTCGCTCCACTCCACCCAATGCAGTTTGGTTTTCGTGCTCACCACTCCACTGAGACAGCTAACTGTGTGGTTCAACACTGGCTGAACAACATTTGCTTACAGTTAAATGTAAAAAAACAGTATGCATGATGTTCAGTAAACGACCAGTCAAAATCGAAGGATCCAATGTGTTTTTAAACGGATCAGAATTAGAACTAGTCCCCCACTTCAAGTATCTTGGAGTCATAATGGACTCAAACTTGACTTTTAAGAAACATATCAAGAAAGTATCCAATACCATTAAATTCAACTTGCAACATTTTAAACAAATTAGACCTTTCTTAACTGTCAATGCTGCAAAGTCAGACCTCCACTGTATGATTCTATCCCACATTGAATACGGTTTGACTAACTGGTCGTTTGCTTGTGCCACGAACCTGAAACCAATAGAACAGCGGTACAAGAGAGCTATCAAGGTTTTTGACAGAAAGCCACATTCATACCACCACTGTACCATCCTTGAAAAACACAATTTCTTGAGTTTTGACCATTTTAAGTATTTTAAAAGTACGTGTTTTTTTTATAAATGTTTACATGGACTGCCCCCCCCCCCCCCTTAGGGGAATTCGTCCACAAAAAACACACTGGACGCTGCACTAGGTCAGAAACCAGAGGAGACTGTGAAGTCCAAGGCAGCTCATTGTGGAATAGCCTCCCAACTGAGATACGGGATTGTCCCACTCTCAATAGCTTCAAAGGTCAACTCAAAGAATGGTTGAGAAACAACCAGATGTGCAATCACCGCTAAATGCACTTGAACACAGGGGCATCTCCTCTTGCACTTTATGTAGCACTAGTACTGCTTAAATACAGAAAAAATGGGTTTAATTGAAAGGAAAATAATTCCAACATTCTTTTATCTAACATTGACCTGTATTTTACAATGTAAGTAACAGTGTAATTAATGAAATAGCAATATATATATACAGTATATATATTGAGCAGGTTTAATGTAAATAAATGGGGCCAGCTATTTTCTACACGGCTTCCCTATACACTGTGTGTGTGCCTTCCAACTGTAGTGACAGACATGATAAAGACATGTGGCACTTATCTTATCATATTGTAACACGCCTCTCAAAGCTATTCCAACAATCTATCACCACTCCTCTCTTAAACTTTCCCCTCCGCATCATCATCCATCAATTAACCAGTGTACAGCCAGCCCAGCTATATTTAAAGCCGATTTATAATTGTACTTTACTAAACTGTGTATCTCAGTTGTCATTGGCTTACATCACTATCTTCCCAACTATACTATCCTACTCATATCTCTTCTTTGCACTCTTGTACTCCTTTTCTGCAGGAGAAACTGGAGATGCCTCCCACTGCGACGACACACACATGAACAACTTTGTAAACTGACCCTTCTCCTCACTCACCCCCCCCCCCTATCAGTTACACAGGAGATGCCAGAGGAGCGAACACGTGCATGTACGTCACAGGGAATGTGCACGCAAAAATGTTTGTGAACATTCTTGTGAGACACAGCTTCTTTATTACTTATATGTCCTGAACTTGTTCACATCCTCATGCGTTCATTGTGTTGTGCACTCACATAGATCAAGCCAGAGTAGTATCTCTCTCTCAGGTTGTGCAGCACCGAGGCTTCGTTCAGGCAGGTGAGGTCGGCCATGTCTTCTACTTTGCTGAAGCGCGGGGGGTTCATTCGCTGCACCTCCTCCCTGGACAGAGTCACCTTCCTCTGGCTGTCCGTCAGCTCCACCTCCACCTCATCACCGCGCTCCTCCCGGATACTGGCCGACTGGGGGGAGAAGAAGGAGATTTAATAAAAGATAAAATGGGAGTTGAAGGTAGATAGAGTTTATGTTCAATGTGAGAATCAATAGGAAGACACTTCAATGTTGCTTTTGGTAGGTAAAACAGCACAGTGAACGGCAATGATTAATCATGGTCAACAGCAATTTAACAATTAAGAGTCCTAAAAAGCAAAGCCTTTATAAGATATGCAGTCAGGAAATCAATCCTGCAATAATCAAAACAAATTGATCAATCTATTGAAGAAGTAATTGTGTTACTTAATTTGTTTTTAGAGATTACCAGCTTTTCTCTTTTTTTATTTTGATCTTATTAAACCTTTCTTTTTGGACTGACAAAGTCTAGAAAAGAGTATCATAAAACTAATAGTTAGTCTCATCCCTATATAAAGACACAAAAACAATGGTCAAGTAGTCTTTTAACTCTACACTAACCTAGCCTGTCAGTGAGATTTAAAGTGAGAGTTGTTATTGTATTTGTCAGCAGACAAGAATAGATGGTGACAGAAAGAGAGAAACCCTCTTGTCATGCTGTCGTTCTTGTGCTTGTCGGACAGGAAGTGTGCTCTGGGTCTGACCAGGTCAGAGGATTCTGCTCTGCTACACTTTCTTCTCTCTGCTACTTGACATGCATACAGAACACATCAAATATGTGCATGTCTGTGTTTTCGTGTGTGGGTGTATATTAGTCACAGATTAAACTAGATGCTCGGACTATGAAACTGGATGAAAGTGTGTCTGTCTGTTTGTTATGATTGCGTATATTTGGTATGTGTGTGCCATTCTCAGATCATGAGTGTAAAATGAAGTCAGTGGTGCTACAACGGCCTCTTTAACATTAGGAGGCTGAAGGAGGGTATTGTTCTATTCATAGAGCTTTCTATGAAACCAGTCCAGCAGAGAGAAGGAGACTTAGAGACAGGACACACAATTCATGTCACATCCTACAATATGCACCAATAAAACTCCTAATGTGCATGATACAAGTACCAAGGATAAGTGGAACAAATCATTACTATGACATGGACCTTGTGATAGTCATTAGTCGTAAATGTGTTAGAGAGCATCACAAGGCATATTGAGGAACCTATTAGGATGAAGGAAAGCATGGAATAAAGTGTATCATCATGAGGACTGAAATCTCATAAAACATAATAGAGAGGCGAAGTCCCGCCCATCTACTTCCGACCCATGGGACCTTATTTTGGAAAAATGATGTATTGAAGTCAATGGGGAGAGAAAGATTATCTTTCGATCCCGTTTGAATTGTGCCATGAATTACACAAATGATGTTTGTCAATCTTAAAGAATAATTTCCATCTCAAAAAAGTCACAGTTTGTCTTAAAACTATTGAAATATAAGACTATGAAAAATACGCAAGACTAGAAAGACTACAAATCCCAGAATCCCGGTCCCGCATGCTGGCTCTTACGGAACCGATTAACTCCCCTTGTGTGTGTGTACAGCTCTCAACATGCCCAGACTTGTAGTGATTTTCACCTCTTTTAATACTTTCCGCCTCATTCTGAAAGAAAGAAGTGAAATATGCCAACGTGACGGCCGTCTTGGTGTGTGGTGCGGGATGAGAGTTGTAGTTCATTGAGCGGTTTCACACAAAAAAAGTGTTACTTCACAGTTTTACGACACATTATAATTTTTTTGACTTGCAAAATTATCTTTTAAATTGACAAACATCATATGTGTAATTCGTGGCACAATTCAAACGGGATCGAAAGATAATCTTTCTCTCTCCATTGACTTCAATACAAACTTTTCCCGAAATAAGGTCCCATGGAGCTCCCCCGGAAAGGGAGGGACTTCGCCTCTATATAACACACACTTACAAAGACACACACCCTGTGCTGCTTTGCCTCACTTGTTTGACACACCTCTATCAAAGGGACGCACTTTGAGCTTATTATTTACCAGAGGATTAATACTAGGGTAGTGGGAACGGGAAAACAGGTTGGAAAAAAAGGGATTCGCCTGGGATTCCACTATCAGTTTAGTTTTTGGAAAGAAAATGTCCTCTATTTCTTTCAATCCACGCCTTACCTCAAAGCCATTCTTCTCTGACGGCACCCACACCAGCCTCTTAGCCGCCCAGTCGGCCTGGCTGGCGGCGGAGATCGTAGTTTTGGGAGACCCTGGCGCCGTGACCCCCGATGTCAGTAAGCGGGTGACATCGTTCACACCGCCCCCCGTTGGCTTGGACATGGTTCTACTGGCACTGTGTGAGGGAAGGAAAAGTGACAAAAACAGTTGAACATTAAAGAGCGAGCCGGTGTTGAGAATTTATTTTCTTCACAGGCCTACTGTCTTGTTGGCTTAAATCGGGAGCACTGGCGATGATGACTGACGATGAAGGACTGACGGACAGGGACACTGATGTGATTCTGTGTCAAGACACACACACAAAATGTATGTGCAGCCACACATAAAGAAAGAGCAGTAGTGAGCACGTAAGTTGCATGCAGGCCATTTCCAGCTGAGATTGGGTCAGAGATGGCCTAATTGAAAGACAGCAAATCAAGGAGAAGAAGGGAGGAAGAAGACAGAGAGATCCGAGGGTGGAGGGGTGGAAGGTGGAGGGAGAGCGAGATACATCAATCGACTGAGTAAACTGACATGACAGGCAGAGGGGGAGGAAGAGGAGGAAAGGGTGGGATAGCAGTGAAAAGAGAGGCTGGAAATGGACTGAATATATTGTTAACCGAAAGAAAGCGAAGCACCCTTCCTTCTACTAGGGGCCGCTCAGTAGAGATAAAACTCTAGTGAAGCCCCCCACTGAGGGCTAGGAGACACAGTGAGGTGACAGTAGCTAGAAGTGGAACATGAAGAAACAGCAAGACATCCTCCAGTCAGAGACACTGTAGCGCGAGAACAAGGTGTTTCTTGATTTAGTCTGACAACTAAGAAATAATGTTCAGCTGGGATTTTGTGAGAGAAAGATCTCTGGAAGGAGGAGACACTTTATTTTGAGGCTAGTAGGAGTGACATCGTTTCAGATGGGTTAGCTGTTGCTAGATCTGGAAGCCACATAAGGACCATTCAATGGTTTCTGTCACCCGTGGACAGATCAGATCATAAGGGGTGCAACATTTAGTTTATTTAAAGAATCAGCTTTTTCGACAATCAATTTGTGATTTACGTAATTTTTCACAAAAAATGGGAATCATTTACTTGTCACAGCTTCTCAATGTGAGTGTTAATCATATTACAAATACAGTTAATAACATTCTGTGTGTTAGCACAAGGCTATTAACAACCCTGCAGCTTAGAATCTCACTAAGCGACTTATTACACAGTTCCACACAACTCTTATTCTAGGAGAACAGAAAGATCATTCTTCCAGATAATGAATCTGAATTTATTTTGCCAACCGAGAAAGACACAAGGTTCAGGGGGAAGAGGCATGCTTGAGTAAAAGCAAATGTCAACTTTGATCAGACAGGTATTTGGGTCGGCCAGTTAACTGTTAGGCGTCTCCATGCCTCTGCAGGTATGTCATCTGGCTTGATTCCTGCTATGCATGTCACTCTCAGTTTTTTCCACTCTGTCTGTACCTGACAGAGCCCGGTCCCCAACCCTGCCTTAACCATACCGGTTACTGCAATACGACTCAGGGTGTGGAGTCGACTCGATGACAAAAGAGTTGCCACCACCCAGCCGCTCAGTATGGGAAATATGGCATCAAACGGTTGAGCATCTGATTTGAAAGGCTTGCTTTACCATAGTGTTCTCTTAATGTCAACAAATCCAATGAAAAGACCAACACCAGCAATTCGGTAGTCCATTTGAAATACTTCTCTACTTTGAATGTAAACCTGAGTGTTTCTAAGTTATTCAGAAGCTGGTCATACAAATATGTGGTTTTGAGGCTTTTGATTTAGTGCAACTGTCACATAGTTTTAAAGCAAACATAAGTAAAAAGGCAATTGTTGGGGAATACTTTCGGCAAATTATTTTCATACTGTAGTAAGTTTGTTTATAACTGTTCATTTGTTTATTTGTATGTATTTTTGTAAATATGTTACAACTATACATAGCTTCGGCAATACTGTATGTAGATATGGTCATGCTAATAAAGCTTTTTTGAAATGAATTGAGTATTTACTTCACCAGGACAAGTATGTGGTTCTTATTGATAATCTAGTTTTCTTCTCAAAGGTATTGGAAATGGATGAATCTAATAAACGTTTTATTACACACATGCATAGCACAGAGCACATGTAGCCTACTGGTATTAGGAGGAGTGGGCAGCTACTGCACAGCTCCCGGGGTTAGGGCTAACCATTGAAGAGCGTCCTTGTAGCTGACTGATGTGTTTAATGGTTATTAGACAAGAGTGGAGGTCTGTGTGCATCGGAATAACTATACATCAGGCTTCGGCTATACAGACATGACTTCATCATGAATGAATTTGTGTTAGGTTTTTTAAACAATGAGATGAATCACCCTTATTACTAATTCAGCTTTAACAGTGATAATAAAACAAGACTTAGCATGTCATCATTTAAGCTGCAGTGTGGGCTGCTGCTGCTGACTCCCATCCCATTGATGCCAATGATTCACCTAAAGCAAATGCTTCACACTCACTCACACAAACACACCTCACAGGTTGTCGCAGTACAGCCTGGACTGACCATCAAACTCATCCTGCAGCAGCTGGAGTTGCCAAAAGCTGACCGCTCTCCTCCATAGCAACACCAACAGCAGCCCACGAGACAATACCTCCAGCGTCTGAACTGAGGACATTCAATGCGGGGGGTCTTGTGGGGGGTGTGCCCCTGTATATGTCTGTGTGGGTAATAAATGTGTGGGTGCCTGCGCGTGATTGTGCGTGTGCTAAACGGGTGGGGGAGCAAACAGGAGACGCCTTTTTTCTTCAGCTTTGCATCGGTGATGGTATATTGTGTCATATGCGCACTTTAGCGGACAGTGAGCTGGTATTATTAAGCCATTGTGGCTATGATGATAATTACAATGCGGCTGCATTACACTATAGCTGCGGAGTGACCCCTACATATTACCTGAGGACTGTTACTACAGCAGAGAAACTGACGAAAGCAACCACACCTTGAACATAAGACATGAACAATCACATGAGCCCTAGCCTGAAATTGGTGGTGATCCGCATGTAGCAACAGCAAAGCCATTCTCGCTGAGAAAAATAGCCATTATTATGATGTGACACAAAGATCACAGTAGGCCAATAGGCTTAATAATAATGATATGGGTCAAAATCCCTACTAATGTGGCCATTAGACAGATTCAATGTCCAGACTTCAGGTCGTCTGGATGTAAGCCCCCTCTGTGAAAACGGAACGTCTCTTGTCCCAATACGTCTCATTATTAGGGTGTAATGCCACCGCATTTAGACCAACCTAGCGAGGTTAGCCAGCTACTCTGAAATATGATACGTGCAGGATATTACACCGGCTAATAACGAGTTGGATTAGAGAAAAGGGAATTAAATCTCTCACCTTCAGGTTCGGCTCAGAGTGTTGGGTAAGGCTGTGATGCGAGGAGAACCGGGGTGAGGCTGTTTCGTGGGTATGTTCCTGCCTGAGAGGTGTGTGTAGCTCACCGCATATGCGGCTTTTATCATTGCACCGCTCTGTCGCTGGAGACCGCACTCACTCGGCGAGAATAAAACAGGGAGCAGTGAGGGCAGGGCGACGGCTTCAGCCCGGGAGACACTTCCTGATAGCAGACCAACCAGGTTCGAGGAGACGGTTTTTAGTCAAGCCTTACATAGCAAATATTCCAATCAAAAGCCACAACAGAGCAGTAGACCCGCCTAATGAATACGACGTGATCTTTCCGCCCCACAACTGGCATGAAACGGGTGCAGCAACGAATGGCGTTAACAGCAGCGCGACGACCTGCACCATTAGCCAATGATAACTGACAGGGGGCGTGGCTATCTGTAACTGACGTGACAAACAGCCAATTGGAAGGCTGCAGCAGGTGCCTGTGCGGCACTCTCGCGCTAGAGTAGTGAGATTTGCGCGCCCTTTGTTTACCACTGAGTGGCGGTGAGGGTCCGCAGACACAGATCTCAGATCGGATTTATTTGAATCCCCAAACAAACACAACCGACGGTTAGCTTTGAAAGATCTGATCCCAGGCGCGTAATACAGATCACATCACATTATCCGACTGTAGCTGGGGTACCAGGGTTCCAGGGCTATCCTTCAATATACCTCAACTTTTCATTTTTATTTATTCAGTCAAATTAAACAATACATGAAAAATAATTCCCTCTCACTGTCACTAAAGTAAGCCTATGAGGCTCTGGAAAAGATAAATGTTCCTATAAAAACTAATTGCAAAAGAAGTGTATGTGTTAATGACCATTTTCCTTTTAATGGCAGGTTCGTTTTTTTGTTCTCCATATGATATAAGAAAAATATTATTATAGGGTTATTAATATTTTCAGAAGGTGTGTTTTCTTCTTCTGACTTCTCGGCAGTAATCGTTACACAAAAGGTTATAGGTCATTTAGACATAGACCTACGTTACAACCAACACAATAAATATAATCTATAAGGGTTAATTGTCATTGTATAATTCTGTAATTCTGTCTGAATTGTTTGGTTAAGGTTTAAGTTCACATAGGCCCCTAAGCAAACATAGATGTTTAGTGTGGTGATAAATTACACTTTACATAGATGATATGTTTTAAAATGATCAGTAGCTTTAAGGAAAATCAATGAAGAAGCAAACAATAGCAATTCAATCCCTGTGTTTTATTTGCTCTTTAACACAGTTCAGTTTCATTTGGAAGTGTCCCATGTCTGAGGCAGTTTTGAAATTACATTTCAGTGGTGAAGCAGAAAGGTTTCCTTTTATCTTTATAAAATTGACCTAGTATAGCTAGCTACAGCCTATATTTGTTTCATCTTATTCATTTATTAAAAATGGATATCATGTATTTTACTCTGTGTATATTATACATACTTGATGATATAAAAAGTGTGAACTGTGAGAGTTGAATCCTAATCAACCAGTGAAATAACCCGAATAACCTATGTGTTATTGGGGTTTTGAACAGTGCTATCGTAAAGTGATGGTGCAGAAAGTTCAAGTTACAAGTGGAGGCAGGGTGAGAGACATGACCCACCATGCTTCCTATAAATAGTACATGGAGCCATGAAGGAGAAGTGTAAGAGAGGACACAAACCTAAAACAGCATTAACACTATTCGTAAAAGTTAATATGTTATAAACACCTCAAACCCCCCTGAGGTAAGAATCTTTCAATAATAATAGTGAAACATTGCGACCGATGCATTGAGGTTGACGTGCTGATCCAGCAACACTACTGTGATGTTTAATTAGTGATACAAGTCTCCATATAGCCCACTACTTTTGTGCAAAGAACAAGTTCCCAGGATGTGCGTTGGACAGGCTGATTATTGGTCAACATTTAATATCATGTTTACTCCTCCTGACACTGAGTTGCCTTAACCAACACATTCTGTAATCAAATACTTAAAAACTCTGGTGGTTACAATACCTAAAATAAACAAGAGCATTCCAAGTGTTTTGCAATATAACTACAAAGTGCAAACAAATAAATACATCATAGTCTCCAATACAATACATCTGAAAGTCCCTTTATGTTCTCAGTTTATGTTCATAATGAGACTTCTCTATCACTGAGCAGAGAATAGGCATTTTTGTCTACTCAGAACAACATCCTGCAAAGTGATTGAAAAAACATTCATGCATTAGAAGCATTATGCAAATACACACATAAGCTTTAAGCACATTTCATATTAACATACCATCAACTGCTACAGATGAAGGGCCAGTTGCAAAATCTCTGGTTTGTTAAGAAGGCACCACTCACTACACTGTTCTCACAATTTGTTAGAGAAACCAAGAATTAGAGTAGGGGGTCATTTAATGTAGTGGGCACAAACATACTGAATACTTTTATATTAAGCTGGTGTATTTGCCAGTTCAATCCACATCCACTTGTCCAGATGTTAGAAAGAGGCTCTATTTCTCAAAGACGAAGAACGACAAGCCACGATCCCCATCGTTACGTCAACGATCTATATTAATTAACTAAACTGGACAACATCATCTGTCATTGTTTGACAATGACTAAAGCTACAATGATTCTTCTGACCACATGGCATTCAACTCAACACAAGTGTTGGATTAAATGAAGCAAATGTTACAATCGTTGACATTTTTTTTGCATTACAAATAGGAGAAAAAGACAAAAGTAAGAACATGACATGGAAAAGAAACCGCTTAAAATTGCTGCTACTTTTCAGCTGTTTCTCCATGTCCATGCTGTTGCTCTGCTTTGGCTCTGCAAGTAGCCTTAACTCAACTATATTCTCAACAGCTCCCCCAAGCTCAAAGTATCACAAAATATACACTATCCATACTTACCATATGAAATAATAACAGTATAAATGATAAATCAGCATCATAGTGGGTTACATTCCTGAGTTGTACCTCAGAAGGTACACTTTCATTCATTTCATACAGAAGGACCTAAAACAGGGGTCAGCAATGCCAGCAGATCCCAAAACTGGAGGTGCAGTTACATGGTAGAGCCACCATGGGATGCTCTTGTATATTGTGCCACACAGGCAGTAGAGTCAGGTGGGCATGTTGTGGTGTGATGGGCCAGATGTTAGTCTTGTCAGACACGTTTTCAATGATCGTGAAAGATTGCCAGGACCAATTAGACAACTAAACCAGTGTAGTAACCCTGCTCCCCAAAAGAGTGACTCAAAACCTCCCACTGTCTCTCTATCTCTGTCCATTTCCTTAATATGTCTCTGAGGTATCTAATCTGTATAGTAGCACTCATCTCAATCTTGAACATTTAAAAAATGTCTAGGCGATCACTTGACTTGTTCCTGCTCTGGACTTTCCTTACCTCTCCAATTGCAGTAAACAATGCCACTTCGTATGGTGCATCCCAACACTGGCCCCATTTCCTTGGTTTGCCCATTCCTATATCCGTTTTACCCTCTCTATGTGCCTGTCTTTTAAGCCACTGGGTCAACTTCCTCCTCTATTCTCTTAAGGCCTCCTGTCCTACAGGTTCAGTTGTAGTGGAGATGTTCTGCTAGGGATTGCCTTCTGGTTGGAGAGGATGGAAACTCGGGGTCTTTTCCAGGCTCTTTATCGGAGGAGATTAGCTCCAGAGCCACTTCGTTCTCATAGCAGAATGACGAGCGTGAGCCGTGAATGCACTTCTGCTCGACCAACTCTTTAGCGCTGCATGAAGGGGTGTCCGGGATCTCATATGTCCGATGAAAGAATGAGTAATCCACCTGGAAAAATGGCAGAAGACTTTTTAATACGCATAAGGTTACAAGTTGAGAGTCTAAACCCAGGCTAGCAGCTCTGTGAGGCTGTATTTGGGTATAGCAGTGCTATTCTCACAATAATAATATTGACATGCTGTTATTTAGAAATTCAATGGTACAGTTTATGTGTTCAACATCTAAGTGTAATATGTTAGCATGCTAACATTAGCTATTTAGCACTAACCATGGGTACAACAAGTGCAACTGGGGCTGATGGGGATGTCAGATTAGTTATCCGGTCAAATGTCAGTAAATGCAAAAGAAAGTTGATCCATTTTCTTTGTTTCGGAAACTTGAAGTTTTTGTCCACAATACATTAGTTATGACACAAATATATTATCAAGATTGTTACAGATTCATTGAATAGTATAGACTACTAATCGATTCATCTTTGCAGCTCTATTTTGCAGACCATAAACCAAAGTAATGGACATGCCCTAATTAATATGCAACATCCTTTCCCCCCCCTGTACAGTTCATCTCTACTAACTTCCTTTCTGACCTGGTAGCAGTCTTTCCTCTCGAAGAGCACTGGTTCGAATCGGTGTCCCCAGGTAATTTCAGAAGCCAGATATGAGCTACGGCACTGTGTGGTCATGGCTGTGGCCTCCACCATGCCCTCGAGTATGACCACCACCTCCAATTCAGAATCATTCTCCAGAGTCTTTCGGTCGATCTCAAAGAAGGGTGACTCGTCATCAATCTCATGGACTATTGTCACTGGCGAGACCAAGAAGATGCGGTCTGTGCCATTATCAAAACCCACATTGATGTCCATATTGTCCAGCGGGAGGAACTCTCCCTCTTCTGTCACCCGTGGCTGAAATTGAGAATGGAGAAAAGTCACAATTGGATACATTAAGCCTTAGACATAGCATGTTGTTATGCTGCACATTTTCATATGTGGAAAAATATTGAATTGAGGCTAGAACCTATTTAATAATTAATCAAATTAGCAAGAAGCCGGGGTCACGTGATCAACCGAAGTTAAATCAAACCTTTATTCTGGCTATAAAATGCAACTCAGTTGTAAAGAAAACGGGGGATTAAATCGGAAACCTTGAATATTGTCAATGGACATTTTAAATACACTTTAAAATACACCATCCCCAAGGTCATCTTTAGAACATTTCTGAACCTGACGCAAAACCCTAGTATTAGGTTACTTTAGTCATACATAGGCTTAACACTCACCCAACTCTTACTATGGAACAATATCCAGACCCAGCCTTTAGAATTGTATTTCTTTGATCCTCGCAAACTTAATCCCATCTGCCCAGGGTGAACTTTGATATGGTCATGCTATTAAAAGGGATCAAATTGTCTATACTGTAGTCCCAATATTCCACAGAGTTTACCCTCCGGACAGCTCTGGCAGCATAAACAGTCATACACAGCGTGGATGATGACAAACATTCAGAAACATAGGAAACATGTTTTAAA